ACCCTCGGCGGGAGCGCCGCCGCGCTCCCAAGTGGCGCACTGTAGCAGTGCGCCACCGAGTGCGCCACCGGGCCGGCCCATGGACATGCCTTTTTAACAGATAAATAAAACGGGTCCGGGCTGGCCCGGTGGCACACTCGGTAGAGTGTGGCACTTGGGAGTGCGGCAGCGCTCCCGCCGAGGGTTCGGATCCCACATACAGACCGGTTCCCGCTCACTGGCTGAGCAAGGGGCGGACGCAGCACCGAGGGTTCCGATCCCGTTGCCGGTCCCGGTCCGGTACGGGCGCAACACTGAGGGTTGCGGTCCGTTGCCGGACACGAAAAAAGACAAAAAAAAAAAAAGGCATGTCCAACGGTTCTTTGACAAAGTCATGTACTCCCATCTTCAAGTATTCCAGGCAAGTCACAAGGCCAGTACTTGTTAAGGCCCACATGAAGTATGTGGAGCTTTGGACTAGAAAGTAGTTAATTTTAGAGTAAAAGGAAAGATATTTCATAGAAAACAAATGCTGTTTGTTTTTCAAATTTTTTTGGGGGGGGGTGGGTTTTTTGGGTTTTTTCTGTTTGCTTTTTTCTTGCTTAGAGCCTTTGAGCATTGTATTGGTTCTAAATCTTAAGGGAATCTAAGCTTCTGTTGCTTTACTTGGGTCGTTCTGGATGAATGAATGTTGTTGGAAAGTGCTGAGTCAGAAAAGCTTGTTTGAAGCTGCTTTACTTCTTTCTACCCTTGTTGTATGTGACCCTCTTACCAGGCCCCACAAAATGGAATCTGAGAGCCCTTTGCATCCCCAGGCCACACTTGGTTGAGCAGGTGGGTGCTATGGCTGTTGAAATGGTTGCAGCCTTAGCTTGCCTGCTGAAAGCTTGTGGCATTTTGGCATTTTAAACACCAGCTACTCCACTCAACAGTGCTGTGCTCTGAATTACCTCACCTCTCTGAGCTTGGAGATCATACTTGTCTCAGTGAATCTCTGAGGATATATACAAGAGAATATGTGAAGTGCTACTGCAGCATCTGGCACATAGTTGGTGCTCCATCACTGTTGACCTGCCCAGTACCACATTCACCTCCTCAGGCTTTTTTGTTCAGTGATACCAAAGCAGCTAGAGACATACTTCTGGTCTTCTGGGGCTTTATGGAGGGGTGGGGGGAGTAAGGGGACAGGAGGGAAGCAATAGCAATTTCAGTGTTTTCTACTGAAAAAACTGGAAATTTTAATTTCATGTTCCCTTTTCTTGGCAGCTTTGACCTATGGCCTAAGCATGACTAAAAGGCATTTTTCCCTAGAATACTATTTTTTCAGCTTGCCAAGCCAGGCACTTTGTGTTAACTCCTAGAACCTTAAATCTGGAAGGATTTAAAGAGGAACCTGAGGTCCTGTGAGGGGAAGGGACCTCACCCAAGGTCACTTTTAGTGAACTGGTGCAGAGTTGGGCTCAGAACCCAAGTCTCCTTCTCCCAGTTCTACACGTCCTGCATCCCACTGCAGTGGAAACTTGGGGGGGGGGGGGTTGTGCATCTCTGGCTAACCACCTCCAGAGAGCCCTTCCAGGTCTTGGCATTGACTGGGTCTTAACCCCAGGAGCACAGCAGGGAGGAAGAGGGGAAGGCAGAGGTAGGCATATGTCATCCTCCAGCGTGTTCATACAGCTGCTTTTGGTGTTGGCATATCTTGGTGTCTCATTCTTAACGTAAGGGAAAAGCAAGACTGAAGCCTTTTCCACACAGCCAAGCAGCACAGAAAGTGCCTTTGGGAATTTGGAATAAACCTTATCATGTGGCAAGGAAGAGGCAATGTAGGGAGAACGATGAACACCGCAGTCTGTCAGAGGCTCTGCCTCTTACTAACCACATGACCTTAATAAGTCTCTCAGTTTCTGCAGTAAAATGGCGATCTCTCAAATGTGTATGTTAATACTCATTTGGCTTTTAAGGCAGAAATGAGAATTAAAGACAACGTACGACAAGCTTCTCGTAGGGTACTCCCCCCTTATCTGCGGTTTCGCTTTCTGCAGTTTCAACTACGTGGATTCAACTGTGGTCAGAAAATATTAAGATATTTAGAGAGAGAGACACACACACACACATACCACATTCACATAACTTTTATTATACTATATTCTTATAATTGTTCTATTTTATTATTCGTTATTATTATTAATATCTTACTGTGCCTAGTTGATAAATTTGTCTTTATCATAGATACGTATATATAGGAAAAAACATAGTATATATAGGGTTAGGTACTATCCGTGGTTTCAGGCATCTACTGGGGGTCTTGGAATGTATCCCTCATGGGTAAGGGGGACTTCTGTACCATGTCTCGTACCTATGTGCTGAGTAGGATAGTCGCTGTTTCTGCTGCAGTGTTTTTTGTTGATACAAGTGTCTTAGCCAGCAGTAGCTACATATGTAGTTAAGGCACAGAAAGTGGTATGTGAGGAGCTTTAGCAGAGAGGTTGAGATAGTGTTGTCAATAGGGAGATAGGAAAGCTTTGTGACCTGGGTGGAGGAAGGTTGGCACCGACTGATCTACCCGTGGGGACTGTCTCTCCAGCCTCCCTTTTCTTTGGCTGATATGATTCAGTGGGAAACTTAGCAGCTTGAAATATACTGATCTTTGGCCTGCTAAGGTTTTGTATGGCAAGGACAACCCTCAGGCCTTGCCTGTACATTTGGGCTTTCTTTGGCTCACCAGGATCCATAGATTCTTGTACTTGGTTTGGTTGTCTAGTTGCGCTACTGTGTCTGCCATCACTGACTGTCTTCACTCTCTTCCAGGGGCTCCACGGGCCTTACCCCTTCGGCCAGTCTTAAACGGGTGTCAGCAAGAAGAAAAATTAAAAGACGGAAGGCCTGACTTTTGGGGGGAGGGCAAGGGGTTCCTCTGGATTTCAGACCACATCGCACGGACCCCTCGCTCTGATCCCCCCGTCCTGGAAGAAGAGGAGGAAGCAGAACAGACTAGTTTTGAGTAAACTCAGTATGCGTGTGTGAATGCTGAATCACAGGAATGGTGTTGAGGCTACCAAGAAGAAATTCATGCAGCCACCTTGGGGTTTGCTTGTTAGGCGTCAATCGAGTCATTAGGTCACTCGGGAAGGGAAAAAAAGTTTAAAATGGGGGAAAAAAAAGCCATCTTTTTAAACAAAAATTATTTTGCCTACAGAGAGGTTGTAGTTTTGAGCACATGTTAATTTTTTCCCCCTCTTTCCCCACTTTTATTTTTTTAAATAAGGGATAACATACTCTTTAAAGAATAGTGCTTGCTCTGGAAGCGATTCAGGTTAAAAGCTGGCGTGGCATGTTTGGGGACTCTGCGGATCAGTGCTACAGGAGTTCATCAGCGGTGCCACATGACTCCAGAAGTCTCTGACCCCATTTGTTTTTAATGGCATCAGCCAATGAGTTATCACCCTTTTCCTCCTCTTTTCCCTTTAATCTTCTGTTGATTTACACCTTTGACATTTGTATTCATCAACCCTGTGGCTTGTTAGCACCAGAACCTCTCTGAAGACCAAACTTCCCTATGTTGTCAGCAGAGGAAGCCTTGAGGACATATCTCAGTGACGTGGGAGTTTCTGAAGCCGAGAGGTGTCCTTCTGCACACACTTGTAACAATTCAAATTGTTTTTCTTCCATGTTTCTCTTGGCAGAGAGAAATGGCATCATGCTTACTTTTTTGGATTCTTCATGCATTGGCTCCCCATTTGCTCTGGGAACTTACCTCTGTACTGGGTATGTGTTTGAGCCACGTGCACACACACGGGTGTTGGTGCAGCTCACCAGCAAGTGTGCAACAGGAGAGTGTGAAGGTGTCCCATGCTTCTCTGTTGTCACACAACTTTCTTCCCTGTTTTTCCTTCCCTGTGGTGTTTTCACAGCCTGTTAGTGGGGCTGAGCTGTTAAGGTATGAAGATACAGCCCTGAATAGGGAATTTGTCATGGAGAAGGGCCACGGTCACTGACTACCTGATCTTGGAGACCACATTTAGACGGAAATGAGAGGACCCCTCTACCCCTCAGTTCCCTCACCCTGAGCAGGGTGCTCGGTTATTGGTGGGGAGGTAGGCAAGGGGCAGTCCAAATGGATTGGCTGGCTGCTCACCTGGGCAGTTGGCCCTACTGGCATCCTGCAAATTCCAAGCAGGTTGAGGTGTGGATATCTCCATGAGAAGCTTGAACCAGGCTAGAACAGCTGTCTGCCAAAGATACAAGAATATGCAAAGTCCTTCTCTTCTTACCCCCTCCTTCCCTTGAGTCTTTGTTTGAGAGCAAGCCGGGGATACGGATATGGGGTGTGGTTGCAGGGTCGTCTGCCTGTTACCACACCCCCATCCACCCTGGGGGTGAGACAAGCAGGGAGACCAGGTGATGAGTGGCTGCAAGGGGTCATATAGCCTGGGTATGGATGAGGGTCTGCCTGCCTGTCTGTTTCTGTCTGGGTATCTGAGATCCAAAAAATGTGTGATGTTTGTTCCTCCTCATCCTCTTCTGAGACTGTTGTTTTTTAAAGCTTGATTGTGAGAGAAAAACTTGTATGGAATTCCCCCTTCACCTGCCCAACCCCCCAAAAATAAAAGGGGGAATGAATTTGGTCCACTGGGGAAGCCCTGGTGGAGGGTGGAGCCAGCCTGCTGAGAAGGGCAATGCAGCTGGGTCTAGGGCTAGACCAGGGCTTACTCTGGAGCACCTACTTTTTGTGCATCTGTGAGTGCTCCATTCCCTAGCAGAGCAGTGGGGAGACCCTGCCAGGCACCCAGCCACAGGGCTCAGGATGGCTTTTTGTCTGAGGGCCTATTTAGGCCCTGACTACTGCTGCTGTTGGTGCCAGTTTCCTAGGACACTGCCACTCTGGAGCCCATGCATGCCCAGCAACTCTTCATTTGATAGCCTTGAAGTACCACCTCTGCAACTGCTCCTGGCAGGATCATGGGAGGTCCCTGCTTTCCTGGCTTCCTTGTCAGCCCCATACTAGGTGCTCTTTCCCAGTTTCCCAGCAGGGGCTTCTTAGGTCACCATCAGTGAGTTTAGCCCTGTCAGAGACATCCTGCTCCTCCTCTTGCCTATAGGTAACCTTACCTGGCAAGTTAAATGTCCCAAGCACCTTGGCTTTCTTCCCAAGAACATACCATTTCCGTGCACATCCTTGGAGAGGTGAGTTCCTTGTAGAGGGTCAGAGCAAGTGCAAGCTTTGGCATGGGGGCTGAGGAGGCCTGTGGTTCCCCAAGCCCAGGAGGGTATCAGTACCATTCATTCTCTCTCCCATCACTGGTACGGGTTCCTGAGCAATGCATAGAGCCCCTCTCTACCCTGCCTAGTGGGGTGGTAGAGGCCAACTCCCAGCCCCAGTAGTCCATGCTCTTAGAATCTTCACCAAGTGGCAGGCCACCTCTGGGCAGGACCACCAGCGTCTGGCACCCAGGAGGTGAGGCAGGCACCATTTATAAGTGGTAGGGCCTGGACCCAGTTGGGGAGACAGAGGGGCTCAGCCTTGGGAAGAACCTGTCTGTGTGCATGTTGTGTGTGGAGTGAGGTGTGTGTGTGTGTGTGTGTGTACGTGTGCATGCCTTTTTTCTTTTTGCTGTGGGGACAGTTGAATTTGGGGCATTTTTCTACAAGAAATAGCTTTCTGTCACCCAGAAAGGACTGACTGTAACCTTATGCCCATCAAAGGCACTTCCAGCCTGGAGAGAACCTTACCAACACAGTTGGTTTGGCCAGAGGGTGGCCAAGGTCAGAGGTGGGCATGAGAATAAATACATCCCTAAATTCAGCCTGAGCCCCAGCAGGAAGGGATGGTAGGGTTGCCAGGGCTCAGAAATGCAAGCTGATTCCCCACCCCACCCTCCTTGCCTCACCTTTCCTTTGTTTCCCTGGGTGAATGCAGGAGCAGCAATGGCTGCCCCTTCCACCTGGACAGTGGTGTATGTAGCAAGCAAGCTAGGTGGGTGTTTGTGGTGGGGCCTTATGGTGCCTAGGAGGAGATGAAGATGAGGAGGTTTTTCCTTACTGTATAAATGAATATTTGTATGATTAAATTAACACACACCAAAAAAACTTTTTTTTCATGTGTGTCATTGAGTTTTATTGTTCCCTCAAGCCTCTTGTGACCTGCATGGCCCCACAATGGCTCTGTGATGAGCACCTTTTGGTCTCTGGGCTTTTCCCTTTTGCAGATGGGAAAACTGAGACCCTGAGGCTCATTATATGTTTGGGAAATGAGTCTTGGGGTTATAATTGGATCCACTGTCCTTCCTGGCACCCAGTGATTAGAAAGGTAAGGAAACTGCTTCCAAATGGCATTCAGATCACCAGGGTGACATGCCTCTATTTTCACCACTCTGTCCCAGCACATGAGAAATACTGGCCAAGTTAGTGTTGATCATCCAACAAGCATTGTTTGAGCCCTTACTCTTTGTCCACATACATAGCACAGGTACAGGAACAGCACAGGAAAAGGGCAGAGCATCCCGGGCATCTTTCCTATTGGGAAAGCTTACCAGCTAGAGCTGGGGAGTTCTCATTCCTACCTGTGCGTTTAGCATCCTACATTTAGAGGAGGGAATGCATCATAATTATTTTCCATGGTGGTTGGGTATAGTTCCTGGGTGCTCGAGATGCTCCTTTTGGTTTATTATGGATTAGGTTTTCATGGGCTGGCCTGGAAGCTTGAAATATAGGTAGAGACCACACTCCAGGCAACTGGCAAGTGAACTTGGAACCCAGCCCATGTACTTAGGTGAGACAGCCTTGATCTTGATGGAGGTGAGGGATGTGGCTCATAGAGCATTGAGCAGGAGTTACAAAAGCCTGAAAGAAACTTAGCTGGAAAATACGATGGTAAATAGAGGGTTACTAGCTCTATCCTGTCATATCTGTAGCATTCTTCAGAGCTCAGGACTGAAGTTTGTCCTCAGTCACATCGTCACCCCTCTGTGTTGAAGAGAGTGAGATCAGAGAGGAAAGGGAGTTGCCCAAGTCTCACAGCTTAATGGATGAGTCAGGCTTGGACCGATGCCCTCCCAGATGCTAGCATTATTTTCATTTAACTCAAAAGCCAGCCTTTTATCTACAGACCCCCAGATTGACCTTCACCCTGCCTGGCAAAGCTGTGTGTTCTAAATGATGCTTGTGAGCCAGGGGATCTAGGGTGCAGGAGTTGTGGGGAGGGGATTTCCTGGCCACCTCCTTGTAGGCAGCTCAGTGAGAGAACCTGTGTCCACAGCTTGCATAAAAGAAACAGGCCCCACAAAGAGTTGGTCTCCTGCTCTAAGGGCCAGAATGTGACTCCTGTTTCTCAGAGAGCAGCCTGATAGCTCAGAATGAGGGAACGTGGGAGACGGGCCCAGAGACCCTCAGGGCGAATGCCCTCTACCGTGACAGTGCATCTGCATCCTGCTTCCTTCCAGGTGCCCACAGCTGTTTGTTCTCTGCAGGGGAGGGGCCCCTAAGGGGAGGGGCCCTTACCCTGTCACCTCAGTCTTCTGGCAGCTCCAACCTACTCCCAGGCCTTCCCCAACATCCCCACTGCTGAACAGTTATTTGCTTGGCAGAATCTGTTTGTCTTTGGGGCTGTAACCTGTCAAGAAGTCACCAGGCCTTGGGAGAAAGGAGTAAGTTTGATGGTAGCTCTTGACCCAAGCCATTCCCACGGGGGCTAGGTGACAGGGAGGGGGCTGTCAGCTGAGTCTGGGAAATATCAGGAAGGTGTTGCAGTGGTCCAAGCCTAGCCTTCCTGACAAACAGGTACTCAAGCCACCTCCCTGCCCCAGCTCAAGTTGTACCTGGGTGCCTCTCAACTTGTTCCTGAGACGGCCCCTCCCTCACCTGCTTGCTGTGACCCAGCCATTTCCCAGAGAACACCTGGTGTCCAGCCCTGTCTGGCTGCCAAGAGAATAGGCACCCAGGGCACTTGAGGTGGCCCCAGATTTCTAAGTGAGACTACTCAGAGATGGGGAGAATGTGTATGAGTTTGGAGATCTCAGGTTTCCAGAAAATGGATTCTGACCAGTCAGTGTGATTGACTGATGGGTCTCAGGTGCCTCCTCTATAAAACGGAGATGACTAGTTTAGAAATCAGTATGTGGAACATGGATTTTTTAATATCCTTTTTAGATATCCTTTTTAATATCCTTTATAGATGCCTTAGCTCTGATCTGTGATCTGGAGCAATGCTTCTCAAACTTGAATGTGTTAAAGTGCAGATTCTGATTTAACAGGTCTTGGAGAAAGGGGCAAGATTCTGCATTTTTAACAAGCTCCCAGGTGAATGGATGCTGATGATCCTCTGACGAGGATGGCCCGAGTGGTTTCCAGCACCCACCACCGCCTCAATCCATGCAGCATGTGAGAGTCAACCAGATCTAGCTAGGGCTATGTTGGCCAGGCCCACTAGAATTTGAGAGAGCTGAAGGCCTCTAGAACATCAATAAAAAAAATATGGGCCGCAGATCCCCAGCATTTCCCAGGGTTTAATGCAGGCTGTGATTTCTGGCTTAAACATTATTTCTACTGTGTTGCTCTTCTGTTACAAACAACAAATGTCTGAGTGTCCACTATAATTATGGTAATATTGGCTGACCAATATTGGCCAAATCCTATTAAACTGTTTATATGAATTACCTCATTTAATCCCGTGCCATCCAGATGAGATAATCAAGTACAAGCAGGCCTGGTACTCAGTTTGTGAACAGCTAACGCCTAAGTGTCATGAGTCCCATGAAAGCAGAAGTGTAGGTTCCTGGGGAGAATGGAGTTAGAGACCTTAACGTAGTGCAGGGGTATCTGGGAGGCTTCTCTGAGAAAGAGACACTTCAACTAAGACCGGAACAATAGAGAGAGAGAGAGGGGTTGGAGTAACAGCCTGTGCAAAGATAGGAGAGAGGGAGTTGTACTGGTGACACTGGAGATCAGTGCTTCTATGAGGAATATTCCTTCTTGATGGGCCTATTTTTTTTTAATCTGGAGAAGTTATGAGAATAGGAGCTTCTCACTTACTGCCCCAGCCTGGGGGAGCTCTTCTACCCTCACGCCTTTGTGGTTCATTTATTCAACATCATTTATATGCCAGGCTCTATTCTAGGTGCTGGAGATGTAGCAGTGACCAAAAGAGATGAAAACACCTGCCCTCAGCTACATCCTAGTTAGATAGATGTAATTTGTCAATAGGTGGCAGGTGCTATGGAAAAAAAGAAAGCAAAGGATAGGAATGACAATGAGGAAGAGAGGGTTGATATTTTATACAGAACAGTTGGGGAAACTCTACTATGCAGAGACAAAGCCTTGTGAATGTCTGGGATAGGAACACTTCAGCAGGGGAAGGGAAGTACAGAGGCCCTGGGTAGTAGGAGATGCAGTCAGAGAGTGAGGGGGTCAGATCATGTGGGGCCTTGAGGTGACTGAACTGTCTTGGCTTTCACTCTGAGATGGGAGAAGTTGAAGGTTGAGAGGAGGGAGGAACACACCCAGCATTCCTGGCTGTTGTGTTGAGAATAAACTAAGAGGCAAGGGCAGAAGTAGGGAAACTGGTAAGATGGTTACTGGGTGGTATCGAGGAAGGTGAGAAGTGGTTGGATCCTAGATACACTGAAAGTTGAGCCAATGGTATTTGCTGATGGTTTAGATGTAGAATATAAGGGGAGAAGCACAACTCCTGAGATTTGGGCCTGAGCAACTACAGTCTAGTTACTAGGTAGGTGAGTTCCTGTTACCTAAGACAGGCAGGACTACCTGAGGAGTGTGCCTGAAAGGAGAAATCAGGGATACTTTTTGGACCTATTTAGTGCGAGATGCCCATTAGGCATCCAGGGAAGGTGCTGGGCCTCGAGTCTGCAGTTCAGGGGGATGGCCTGGGGAGCAATCAGTGATGAGATGGAATTTAAAGCCTCAGGACTGGTTGAGGTCGTCAAAGGAGTGAAACATTGGACCTGGACCTCATCCGTCACACACTCCCTTAAAGCCTGCTCTTCGCCCCATTCCTTCTGTGAGGAACTCTGACCAAGAATACCCCTCCTCAGTCTCAGCTCTGATAGGTACAGATGACCTCTCTCCTGTCCTGGCAATCCCTATCCTGTCCCTAGACTGTTGTGCCCCAGCTCTCTCTCCCTGCTGGTCTCAGCAGATGGTTATGGAGTGGATGAGGGCTGGATGCTGTCTACGTCAGAGATAGCCCCCACCCTGGAGCTGGTGGCAAGGGCATGGAGGAGTGCAGCCAGAGCCCCAGTAGGTCATGGCTTATTTCTTGGAGTCCTGTCCCAAGGACAGTCTGGGGCCCTGAAGCCAAGTCCTAGAAATTCCTTCTGCTGAGCTCTGGGAGAGGAGAGAAATCTGACAGAAGGGATTGTGTCTGACTCAGGCCTGAGGAGAGAGGCCCTGTGGGGGCCATGCTTACCTACACAAAGCACCCAGCCCTGGTCAACAATCAACACACCCAAGATCCCTGATAGGGTGGGCTGTCACTATTTAGTGCCTCTGAACAGCAGAGGCAGGACTCCCCTGCCCCTCCCCACAAAATCAGAGGGCAGTGGGACAGAGGCAAGGGCCAGGGAGGGACTTTGAGCTATGAGGAAATCCTTATCTCGGGGTATGGCTGCCCTGAGCCACATAAGCGGGGATCGGGGGGGGGCGTTGGTATAGAGCAGAAGCTGTCCCTTGGGGGTACTGGGAATGTGGCCACCTCAGCTGGTGCAGAGTGTGCCCAGGGCCAGCAGAGGGTGCCACATGGTCCAGGCCTCATCTGGAAAGGATGGACACTGCCCTGTCCTGGCCTGCAAGTATATTTCCCAAATTCCCACTCTCCCAGGCCAAGTGTTGCCTCTGCTCTGTGCTCTCAGATAGGCAAGCTTGGGTTTGAATCCAGGCTCTGCTGCTTGCCAGCTGTGTGACTGTGGTCAGCTTATTTAGGCACTCAGGACCTCAGTGTCCTAATCAGTAAATTGAGGACAGTTCCTACCCAAGAAATGTAATGAGAATTAAAACCATCATAAAAATGTTGAGCATCACATACCTGGCACATGATAAGTATCCAATATGTGGTGACCATTATTATATTATTATGG